CTCCCAGCATGCTGGCTGGGGAATGCTGGGAGTTGAAGTCCACACCTCTTAAAGTTGCCAAGGTTGAGAAACACTGCTATAAAGGTTTGGTGCTCCTCTGAGGAATCTTCAAAACATGGCATAAGGGCCAGCATTGTGTTCAGGCTGGTCCCACACTTTGATGTCTTGATCTGAGAACTCCTCAGAGCAAGGCATTGTGGAGGAGAGCTGCTCCAGGTTGGTGGTAGATAGGGTGTAGACCTAAAAATGAGTCTCTCTGAATATGCTGCTTGAGGTATAGGTTTCACTCTCTCATGAGCAAGCTGGCTGTATTCAGTTCAAGGGGGGAAATATTCATGTAGCAAATGTGGAAGAAACCCTTGCAGAGAGCCACTGCCAATTAGATACAACAGTGCTGGCTAGATTAACAAATATTCTGATTTATTGGCAGCTTCTTATATGCCTTAACTCTCTTGGTTCAGATTTTACTCTATGCCAAGATAGAAGAGCATCTGAGAGCCCCATACAGGCTGTTGTTTATTTCTTAAAGGAGGAGCAAGAAAATTAAAAAGATATTTTGAAGATGGGTTAATATATTACCAGAATGCAGACTTTATACAAAATGTTCAAACCACTTAGTGTCATTTCTCACTAAGAGAAATGATGATAGGAGTACTAGTCAATCAGTGCACAGTTTTGTGGGATGGGTTCTGTAACTTTCTCTTTTGCAAAAAAATTATAAAAAAAAAATCTAATTGTTTTAATACATTTATTTACAGCTGGGCATCCATGGATATGCCTTTCTAATTACTAACAATGGCTACATTCTGTCTCATCCTGACCTCCGGCCATTGGTAAGTACCTAAAGAAGCTCTAGATTTTCTGGGATCTCTTTTAGTTTCTGTCATTTTAGAACCTCCAGCTCATTGATATGCAGGTGGCACCAAGTGAGTCATGTTAGATGGTTGTCTTTTTCCTCATGGCAGTTCTTAACTGTTAGTTTTCTTTCCCAATGAATTAATGAAAGTGACAATATCTATTCAAACTCCTAAATGGCACCATTGAGGTATCAGATCAAAGGCCTATCAGGAACCTTTACATCCAGTGGACCCCATAGCACCTGCAAAAATATCACTGGTAATCCTGTGCCAATGGAATTGTCCTGGTCTATAGGGATTTTCTCTTCCTTATAACTTTCCTTACCTGGATGATTAAAATTTAATTGTATGTCACTTTGACTTAAAGAAAATGTCCCAGTACAAGGCTGCAAATGCAACCATCTAATTACGTTGGCTGGTTGAATATTCCATATTCTCCAAGTTTCCTTTTATTTGCATACTTACTCTGCTCAAAATGTAAGTAGTGTGAGAGATTTAAAGTTCTCCTCCAGAACTTTCTTCAGTCTTTACGTTTTCTCTTGATTTATATTTTCTTTGCTTTTATTACAAGCATACACTAAACATCCCCATTAAAAAAAGAAGCAAATAAATGCCAAGCTGGTTACATTACCTGTATACTTACAATGCTAAAATGTGTATCTGATTTAACACAGTAAAGTACATCCTGAATCATTTCTGTAGTATTGCTGTGCTTCTTATCACTGTTCATGGTTTCTGATTAGGGCTATTGGAAACATAATCTGTTCAAATAAAATATGCTAGGTCTGTATTTGTCAGAAAAAGTCTCCCCTCCCCTCCCTAGTGGTGCTATGAGGGCCAGCATTATTCTACTCTCTGTAATAGCAAAGTCTGGAAGATGTTGAAGACAACTTCCTCTTTGGGATTGGGTGACTGAAGCTGTTTCAGCTTGAATGAGGAACATATGAGATTTTTCCCCAGGGGGTAAGCTGGATGGAAAAGCACAACAACTGGCTGATCACCGCACTTTCCTTGTTCAACAATAATAATGCTTAGAACTTCTTTCAACAATAGACATAAAAACTGTGCAATCAGCTAGAAAAAATTGAGTGTTTCCTTGAGAGAAAAATATATCTTCCTGACTTGTCTGTCCTTTTTTCAATATTCTAGTACAAAGAAGGGAAAAAGCTGAAGCCCAAACCCAATTACAACAGTGTTGACCTTTCTGAAGTAGAATGGGAGGATGTAAATGAAACTGTAAGTGCCTAAATTGGGGGTGGGGGGAGTGGTGCACTTTCCTTTCCCTGGCCATTTTATCCAGGGAGTTCCTAGCAAATCACAGGAATATTGCCAAATAGTGTCTGTCTGTCTGTCTATTGACGATGCAAGACAAAGATGATGCAAATAATCAATGAAAGCTACAACAAAAATATACACATATAGAAGAACATCCTTGTGCCAATCAGGTTCAGCCAATTGTTCATACTTAGAAGTCTCCCCAGTTCTAGTTCAACACATTAGCCACTGCAGCTACCTCCCTGAATGAATATCATCAATTACATTCGTATAGCCCAACTTGTAGATTAACTAGCTAAACGCAAAGGAGAGAAATATCTATGTCGAAATTGTCACTGCATGCCAGTGTTCTCAAGCCAGCCAGAGATTCTAATGAAGACCTATTCCTTTCTGCAGTTACGAACAGCAATGATCAATGGAGAAACTGGTTATTTTTCCATAGATGTGAAGGTGCCTATGGATAAAGGAGTAAGTATTTACAAGTTTGCATTAAAATGTAGATAAAAACCGTAAAAGCAGCACAAAACCATGCAATTCAGAAAAGTAAACATTTCAAAATGTTAAAAGTGCTGAACTATCCCAAAATCCCTAAATCTCTAGTTTGTGGAAGGCAAAATATCTCAGCATTTTATGCCTTCTGCACCAACCAAAATTTGAGCACAAAGATTTAGGAATCTCTGGATCTCAAAATACATTGTTATATGGGCATAATTAGATTAGCTTCATTGGATACATGTCAATAGCAGGACAGTTAGGAGAGCAAAACCATAAAGGCTGTTTGGAAATATAAAGCTTGCTCATGTTTTGTTCCGTCTCCATCTCTAACAGGAACACAAAGTTTCCCTGGGAGGCAGAGAAAAGATGTAAAGAGGGCATAGCCATGATAGTCACAGTTACCATCAACAGGGGCTTGATTTATCAGTAGGTGATGCAGAAATACATAATCAACTAAAATCCAAGGGCAATCAACTGAAATCCAAGGGCAAATCAAGAATGAAAATGTATCCTAAAATTCTGGAGACAGGTTCTAACAGAACTTGTCTGGATGTGCATGTCAAGAGTTCAGGACAGGGGTGTCCATGGAGGGTCAAAAAAGTCAGTATGGATGCTGCAATTGTGCAATCAAAGCCCCACCCCTTTTTAGTACACGTTAAAAGGAGGGGCTTCAATATCCCCCTTTCTGTTCTCTGTACAATTGATATGTTTTGCTCCTTTCTATTAGTAGTTAGTCATCATGAAGTTCCCTAAATCAAATATTTCATCACTAAATGCCACATGACATTTATTGGCACCTCATTAGCTCTCCCTTACCTACCTTCAAGTTGGGGACTCTTTTGCCATTATCGGTCCTCAGGGCTTTCTGTCTCATTATGAACTGTGTTTTCAATTATTATTTTTTTTCCACCTGCATCTCTTAAACTGGAGACGCAGAAGCTTTCTTCAAGAGACTTGGAAAGTTTTCCGTGGAGTGTGTAACATGCACGCACTATGATTTCTTTGGTCAACTGCCACCTTCAGTTAAACAAATGTATAGAGTTTTTGAGACAATAGAAAATCCTCCACAGTCTGTGTAACCAGAAAGAAAAGTTGAAGAAATATATACCCCAACATGCCTCATAATATGTCAGTTCTCTTAAAAGTAGCATTGGTCTCTCTCTCGCCCCACTGGCTTTTCTTAACGTCTCCATGCTCTGCTTCTTTGACTCATCTGAATTCCACATCCTCTGTGGAATTGATTAGTTAAGTTTATTTTTCTCCCCTTTCCGGTCATGTTGAAAATTATTTCAAATGTTAGCAAAGCAGGGTTCCATGAAAGACATCTTATTCACTCCTGTGAATATTACCTCCCCTCCTGCCCCCCAGTACTTCAGACTGCTTGACATTTCTCTAATCTTGCAAACTTTCAGGCTATACAAAGGCAAACATACCTCTTTGGCTGCATTAATTAACATTAAGATTGGGTTTTCAAACAAACAAATAGATCAAATCCTCAGGGTGAAGGTAAATGCATGACATAGTTCACCTGTTCCCCTCTATGTTCAGACAAAAATGATACAGAAAAAGGAGAAACAGCAGAATGAGGAAATAAATCCATTGTGGCTTTCTTGGTGTTCTTTGGATCCAAAATGTTGACTTCATGGATATGTTCATGTAGTTTTCTTGGCAGCATTGCCACTGCCTTGCCCCAAGATTTTTTTTTTTTCTTTTTCCCTTCAGTTTCCCACTCTGTTCTAGAGACCCTTGATTTCCTAGTGGTCTCCAATCCATGTCCCAGCTGGGCCTGATCCTGCTTAGCTTTTTTCCAGCTCAGCCAAGTTGGCTAGATGCTGACACCTGCTGTGACGTTGTGGTAGCTAGAGATCATAAAAAGAAATACATGTTAACAGCAATAGAAGAGCAAGAGGGCTTGAGACCTCTGGAGAGAATTGATGGGGGTTGTTCAAGCCAAGCTATTTCCCATCCAGCAGCATAAAAATGGGGAAGCCACCCAACATTATATGGCAACCCACATAGATTTCTTTTCCATTTGAGAACATTAGGCTGGCCATGCTTGGCTAATTAAATAAGCTAGCTAAGATATTTTTGAAATGCTCAGCTGGCAGCCAGCTCACATAACTGCCTCCAGCATTGATCTGTCTTTCTGAAGCATGAACAATTTTGCCTCAAATCCTTTGATGCTTGTTGTCATTGTACGAGATGGAATTTTCGGGACGTTGAGGATTGGTGTTTAACTAGCAAAAGGGAAGGGAAAAAGGGGTCCCAAGTGACTGCAGCCACAAGGACTGAGATTGAGATTGTTATCCTACTGCTTGTCACCTTCTCTGTCACACTTCCATCTCAAGCCTATCTGTCATTTCATGTAGCCCAGCTGCAGAGCATCGATCTGTGTGCCATGTTTCAAGGACGTTAAAACAGGGACAGAGCAGCCTCCCTTGAAAGCTATGGCCAGTCTCTTCTCCTTTCTAATTCCATCTGGTTCTCTGATAAGAAGTGCATTGCTCATTGAGTCATGTATCAAGGTGTACAATGAAACAATGTTGATACCGTACTACGTACCACAGATAATCCCACTTAGTAAGATTCCCTTGGTACCATGGGTGTGAATTCACAAAGTGGTCAGTGTGCTATGCAAGGATGTTTGACTATCAGTTGATGCAAGCAGAATGGAGACCCCCATCTCCATTCTGCTTGCATCCTTCCCATTTCCACCCACTGCACCCAATAATTTAAAAAAAACTCACCTTGGGGACAAATATGGAGTAGCCCACAGCAGAGGGCAATGCCATCACAGCCTCTTGTTAGGCAAGATGTATTTTCTTTCAAGGAAAGATTAAGCTAGTGTACCAGATCCATTATCCTAGGTTATTCATGTTCTCAGGCCCATAAGCAGTTTTGTACCACATAAGTTATTATTGTTGACTTTCAGACAATACCTTACTATTGAGTTGAGCAATCTCTGCAAATGGAGGGCAGCTGAAACATACAGATTATTATACACTGCTATATTATGAAAAAGTATGTAGCAGACAATTAAAGAGATGTTGCATTATGCATACTCACTACAAAAGACATGTATCTTAAGTAAGAGAAGACTATAAAAACAGATACTGTCTTAGTAGAAACTTCTTCAATTTTTTTCTCCATCACACACACAAGAGATTGCTTTTTGAACATTACAGCCTCTTCTGGTAAGTTTATGCATCACTTAAAACCCAGTTAACCATTACTTTTTTTCTTCTTCAGCCTATTCAGGTTTATCAACTTAATTAAAATTCATGCAATTAATTGATAAAGTCTGCTGTCCCCTGCACATTTACTTAGGACAGGTCCTACCAAACTCAGTATGTCTTAATTCCCAGTAGATATGTTATAATGTTACAATGTAAGGTTTCTTTAATTGGGAGGCTGCCCTAATCATGAGATTCTTAATATATCAGGACCTAGTTTCAGCACCCATCTGATGACATACAATAAAATTAGGCCTTTTTTTTTTTTTACATGCTAGCTTTGTAAGAAGGAGCAGGGCTCTCTTTAAGTGAGTCAACAGGTGTGTAGAACAAATACGTTTCAGCTCCAGTTGCATAATTCTCCCTCTCTGTGTATGTGTAAGATGTAGCCTTTCTCTGCCATTACAATATAACATTTTTTAATATATTTTTTTCCCTTTTCCCAGAAAAGGATTCTCTTCCTCACTAATGATTATTTCTTCACTGATATCAGCGGCACTCCATTTAGGTGAGTGAGCAGATTCTGCAGAGAGAAATCAAATTAAATGTCTTGCATTAGTACTTAGACAGCCTTAGGTAACAATAAGTTTATTCCACCTGGGATCCTGCAGAGCCAATTCAGCTCAGTTGGTCAAGCTTCATCAACCTGATGCTCTTCAAATATGTTGGAATTATAAGGTCCAAAATTCCCAGCTGGCATGGCCAAAGACCCTGTTGGTTGGGAATCTTGGGAGCTTGAATCCAATTATACCTGGATGGTACCAGGATGTCAAAAGAAATAAAGCAGCTATATTAGACTAGATGAACAAATGCTGTATTTTGCTGATTTCTTTCTATTGCACCCTCTTTAAAAAAAAAAAAAGCAACAAATGAGAGAGTAAAAGGAAGAAAGAATGAGAATGTGGTTTCTGGAGCATTGGAATAGGGCCAGTGTCTTTGTTTCCACTGTTTAGTCTTATTTGGTGGGATAGTGGTAAATATAGAAGAGTCACACCTCATAGTTATGTTCTCACAAAAGTTAACAATTAAAAAAATGAACTTTAGCATTCTTGCAGATATATTGGGCCTGCAAATGAGGATGTGCATTTAAAAAAAAAAAAAAAGCATGTTCATGCACTCTGAAAGGAAGAACAGCTCCTCCAACAGGCCAGTAAAGAGTAGGCCTTACAAAATGCTGACCAGCAAAAGGAGTAGAGTGGAAAATAATGGAATTGGATGAGGAAGGGAATTGAGGAAAAGGCCGTGGTTGGTTGTTAGAATACAAAAAGGAATAGTCTGCAAAGTTTTGTTGGAGGCCTCATTTCTTTACATAAGTCCTGTAGAGAAAAAGATGAATTAAGTTGGAGTTCTGCAGTTCATTCACTTGAATCTGCTTTTCCTACCTGTGGAAATAGAACCAAGTCCATCAAGAGAATTTCGAGATGCTGTAGATGTTGAGGGTCCAAAAAGCTCAATTGTTATTTGCGCCAATAGAAAGCCTGAATCTCCAAGTTTTCCGAATTCATGGAGGAGGAAAAAGGGAAGAATGGTGGGGTTCCAGATGCAGTTCAAAGTGCTGGTTATCACTTATAAAGCCCTTCATGTCACAGGCTGAGTTATTTGAGGGACTCCCTATCTCCCATGGTTTCTGCCCATCCAGTAAGATCAGGCAAAGTTGGTGCACTTCAGGTCCCTGCAATCAAACAATGCCAGCTATCAGGACCTAGGAAGCACGCCTTCTCTGTCGCAGCATCTGCCCTCTGGGATGATATCTCCCCCAGAAATTTGCCTAACTCCCTCTCTAATGTCATTCCAGAGACCATTAAAAACACAGTTGTTCTTCCAGGGCTTTAGATAGGGTGGCTGTGGTGCCCTATTAGTGTTTTGTTATGTGGAATATTGTTTTCTGGATGCTCTAGTTCCTTTTTATTGTTTTTCTGTTTTAAATTGTAAGCTGCTCAGAGTCATTCTGGATTTGGTCGGCCTCCAAATTGAACAAACAAATCTATGTCCTTAAATCTCTGACTCCTAAACCTGACACGTATGGACTACAACTCTCAAAATTGCAAAGGCTGTGCTGGCTGGGAATTCTGTGATTTCAGGGTTAATGCATCTGGATAATGCCACACTGATGAAGGCTGAGATAGACCTTTATAACATTCTGTTTTATTTTTTTATCGTTCCACCCCCTCCCCAACTCACAGCTTGGGAATTGTTCTATCACGAGGATATGGTGAATATATCCTACTTGGGGACACTTCAGTGGAAGAAGGTTGGTTGTGTGACACAGTTTCGTGAAACTCTTGTATGGGAAAGGTTCGAGAAAACTTTCTTGTACCCTAACTAGGCTTTAATAGGTTCTCTCCATCTCTCTTTAAGTATTTGTTTCCTAATGTGGTAGACTCAAAGTAGAAGTCTATTATTAAAATATCTGAACTCAGCTTCCTATATACTTGAAGAGGGAGAACAAAAGTATTAATAAAATTTTAAAAATGAAAATATGGGGAGCATACACATTTATCACCACTGAAACCCAAGTATTTCTTGGAAAGGCCCCCAGTATCCTGAGGATCTGTCAGAACAGTATTTATAAAGCTTTTTCAGTTCCTTTTTCTGAACGTTGTGTATCATATCATCCAGCCCTAATGTCAGTAATCTTTTCTGCAAAATGGGCATGCCAAGGTCTGTGGAATCAAAGAGTTGGATTCGTTTACCACTTTTAACTTATTTTGTCTATGAGAAAAAGTACAAGATGCCTCTAATCCCTTTCTAGAATAACCTTTACATCAAAACAAAGCAGTCTGCTGTTCCAGAATAGACTGAGGTAATGGGACAGTTCTTCTCTTCTTACTGAACTTCATTCCCACTATCTGAACACTGGCTCATAAAATTTAGGATATTGGAATTTAGTACTTGAGAATCCCCAAGTCTATGTTGCATCTAAATCAAAGTCATTCAAGGGTGTGTGTGTGTGTGAGTGTGTGTGAAGAACATAAGGTATATGATCAAGGAATTCTCCCCCCACCCAAATTAAATTCTTGGTGTATATTCCCTACACAATGTCTTAACCATCACCTTCACCTCTGTTATCTAATGGAGGTTGAACTCTCCTTCAATACAAGCTGCTGTGGAAAGCTTTGAGTATTAAGCATGTATGTCCCCAAGAAGGAATCACTGCCATAACAGTGCTGCAACCTTTTCATTTCAGGTTTGCATGATCTTCTGCAGCCAGATTTGACCTTAGCCAATGAGTGGTAAGATTTTTTTCCCAATCATTCATTCATATTTGGGAGAGATGAACACTAGCAGCTGCTTGGCGTTGGATCCTTGCCACTGAAGCCCTTGAGAAAATGTGGCTGTAGACTCTAAAGAGATATAGCTCAGCTCAGCTAAAGTTTCTCCAATTAAAGGACATTAAAACACACTGAAGAGAGGATTTTTGCCCAAGGATGTGGGGAACTACTGCCCACCAGAGCATCTGACATTGCCTTAAACCTGTGCTTGAATTTGGTGCAAGGCAGGTTCACATATTCTTGCATGTTCATTCGGGCTGTGTAACCTTTTGGATTCAAAAGGGAAAAGTTGCTCCAAAATACAAGTGGGTGTGCATATAACACTTAATGCCACTGCTTAAAGCAAATGTGTCGTCTCCCTGGATTATGCTGCCAAGGGCAGCCATGTAATCCTAGGGAAAGACACAGCTGGTTTAAAGAGTTGCCGACAGGTGCTAAGTAAGTAACTTTGTGCCTTTTGAAGTCCTATTCCCCCTTCAAATCCAAAGCACTGCACAGCCCAAGTGTTCATATCCCTGGGTAATATTAATCAGATGTGATAAGTGACTCTACCATGTTTTATTTATATGCCAGAACCGGGTAATCCTAGGGGCTAAATAAATCAACTGCCCAACTTTTTTATTTAAAGTTAGGTCAGTGGAGCATCCATTGGGGGATCAAAAAAGTCAGCACGGTGTCTAGAACCATGAGATTGAATCCTGAATCTTTTGTATGTGTGATGCACATGTGCACTGCACATGAGGGATGGAACTTTGATTGTAGTTGCCATCTTCACTTTTTTGATGCACCCCCCCTGTCCCCGGTGGATGCCCCTGTGGGATAGCCTTCTGGATTAGATCATTCTGTTTTCTTAATGCTTTTAAATTCTTATTGGGATAAGAGAATAATTCAAACAATTGCTCACACTGAAATAAGATATGGTGGGTGATCATGGGACTGTGCAGGCTAGTTTCCCTAAGCTGTTTCCTATTTACTTGTTTAACTTCTCTCTTGCTTTTCACTAATAGTGAAAAGGAGGAATATTTTATGCTTAGACTTAGATGTCTTAGGTCCCTGAAAGGAGAAAAAGAGCCAACACTCTCTCGTTCTTTCTTTCTCCCCTCCCCCAGGATTTATTGTGTTACAGATATTGATCCAGATCACAGGAAGCTAAGCCAGTTGGAGGCTGTAATCCGTTTTCTTACAGAAGAAGAAGCTGATCTTGAATGTGAGTGCGGAAACATATAGATATTAACCAGTGTTCTTCTGAACCCCTTTACCTAAACTGTTAGGAACAATCTTGTGAAGATATCTAACTGGTTCATCCATGTGTAACACCATGAATTCAGCAATGGCCATATTCCAGGGTTACGATAGGGCTGAATGGAGTTCTTTGTTTAAAAGCACTAGTGTAGGCTTCTCCAACATCTTTTGAGGCACTTTGTCCCAATGTGGCACATTCCAAAATGCCAAGAAGTTCTAAATCCTGTTTCCTGAATTTTATTGGTCTCTCCTATTTTCTGAAACAGCAAAACACCAAATTTGCTCCATCAACTGTGTGACAGCCTTTCAAATAATTGGTGGTGATGATCATATCACTTTTTAATTATCTTTTCTATAGGGCGAACATACCCAATACATAATGAGCATGCTGCTAATCATCTTTCATTCTGGCTCTTCCTTGATTTTCAGCTTGCAAATTAGAATTAGCAACTTCAGTTCAACTCAGTTCAAGTTAAACCTGGCAGATGACAACATTTATCTTTTGTCTTTCAACTCCTCATGTGGGTTGGTCCATACTGCTGTCCCTGTAACTGAAAGTTGAGCTTTTGAGTATCATTGTTCAGTAGCTAGAAACTTCAGGGGTGATCTATCTCTCATCTGAATATTAATGTAACCTTTTTTAAATTCGTATTTCTCTCAGTCACTGCTTCTTTGATCTCCTTGATTCAATTTGCCCACAAAACGATTTTTTCATGCTTTGTTCCATTCAGCATATTTGCTTTCAGCCTGACCTAGAGAAGTATGTAGTATGTCATTCCCAGTCCAGCAAAGCTATTTGTTGGAATGAAGAGTTAGGGAGTATTATATTAATATATTGTTTAAGGCTTCATCCATTTTTCAGTATGAAAGTTCAACTCCTGATAATTCCATGGAGCAAATAGTGTACATTGGGGGGGGGGCGGAGAATGGATTAATGAATTTAAAACAAGATCTTAAGCAGCTGCCTTTGGAATAATATTCCAAATTGAGATTCCAGGAACTGACCATTGTTATTGCAGTTGAAGAGTCTCTCTGCTGGCTTCAGCTTTAAAGCCCAGGAATATGCTATGGATAGACAGGGATGTTCAGAGAGTTTCAGTTTCCAGGTTCTCCAACTAAGAGCATCCACTGGTGGGGGCATCAATGATATCACAATGGCAGCTGCATCTGGGTGATTGAAGCCTTAAACAATGCACACATGAAGCCTTAAACAATACACACATGTAAAAAGGAGCAGGGCTTCTGCCACCTGGTTACATTTTGATGTCATTGATCCCCTTGTGCATGACCCTGTCTCCAAAGACTCTAAGAGTACAGTTAAACACATAGATCAGGTCCCCAGCCTTGTGTTCTCCACATGCTTTGGATTTCAACTCCAATGATCTGTGTCCCAGGGTGATAATAATGTAGTTCTGCACATCTGGAGGGACCTGAATGGGAAAGATTGATACAAGGATGTTGCAGAGTCAGCTGGTAGTGGATGGGCAAATCAGTTAAAGTTAATTCTGTTTTTATTCCGAGTTTTCCAGCTTCAGTCTGCAATGTTTTAAAAAATAGCGCAAATACATTTTCCTGCATATTTCTACTAATACTTCTTGTGCATGCTTTCCTTTACTATACTCTTGGTTGCTGTTGTGTTTTACTTCATTGCAAAAATGTGAGGATAGTGGCATACAGTTGAATTTCTCCTGCATACTAGGAAAGATACCTTCCTGTTTGCTATAAACCAGTGTTGTCCAAACTTGGCCACTTTAAGATGAGTGGACTGGCTGGCTGGGGAATTCTGGGAGTTGAAGTC